GGGGTCCCGCCCCCCCCCCCCCCCGGGGCTTGCAGCTCAGGGGGACCCCAGCGATCGCACAGGGGCAAATCCCTCCCCCAGCGCTTCCCAGGGGTTGCCCAGCAGCAAGGGAGGGCTCCGGTCCTGAGGCCGCTGCCAGCTGGAGGCGGTGGGGCAGGGCAGGGGTCCCCGGGCATCTCCGAGTGGCCTGGCCAACTCTGATGTGGGTTAGTGCTGTGTCCTGGCCCCCGGCTGAGCCCGCGTGCAGCCGGGGGGCTGTGGGCAGAGGATGCCAGGGAGGCACTGACTCACCATAGTAGAGAGGATCGTGGCTGGCGCTCCCTCCGCCCAGGACAAACACCATGCAGAGCACGGCCAGCAGCACCAGCACCCCCGTCACTGCCACCGCCGCCGGCCTGGGACCAAGCAGACAGGGCCGGGGGTGAGCCTGATCTCGGGGGGTGAAAGCCTCTGCACCCTCAGGATCCAGCGGCCCAATTCTCTCTGCCAAAGGCGTTCTGGGCTCCAAATTGTGTTGGCATGAAGAGTTTGGCCCTGGTGCCTGCCCCACCTGCACCTGCCAACTCTGAGGCAGTCTTGGCAGCAGGCGCCAGCCGGGCCGGACCCGTGGGGCCGCAGCACCGAACAGCGGGGGAACCCCGCCAGACTGGGGCCGCGGCCGCTTAGACCAGAGCCAGGAGCTGAGGCCAGGGAGGCTTTGCCCTGGAAGCCTTCAGCTCTGCTGCCAAAACGAGGGGACGCGAACGCCACTGCTGAGTCTGCAAGCGGGGGTTAGCGGGGCGGCCTGAACAGCTCCCGCCCCAGCCCTGCTCTCAGCGTCCAGCAAAGCAAAGGCGGTGGCAGCCCGGCTGCCAGCTGGTGGCCCGGCCCAGCTGACCGGTCTGACAGCACGCCCGCCTGTTGCTGGCATGTCTGCACAGACCTTGCCACCCACGCGGCCACGGGGGAGGCAGCCTCAGTGCCTCATAGGGCCTGCTCCTGCTACAGATCAGGCCCTGTCCTGCCCCTGGAGCTCCTCCCTGCCATGCGGTTAGGAGGTGATGAGAGCAATTGCCCCGTGCCTCCTTGTCTGCCTGGTCCGGACGGCTCCCAACTTCCCTGGGGAGGGGGGGTTGGTCTCCACTTGCTCTACAGCCCGCGCTGCAGGATCCCTGTCTGGGCTGGGGCTGGAGCACAGAGGCTCAGGGGAGCCGGGGCCTTATGCGGAGCTCCCCGGCCATTTGTCAAAGAAGGGCATGAAACAGCGACAGGCTCAGCGAAGTGACATTTAAAACACTGCTGTGAAATGGGATTAAATCTTAGAACTGTTTTCACGGGTAATTGCTAAATATGCAAATAAAGGCAGGATATGTAAACAAGGCCACCAAGCGCGCCAGGAGCGGAGCCGGCCTTGCCCGGCCGCGCGGGATCCGGCCCCGGCAGCAGGCGGGAGGTGCG